TTGCAACCAACTATACTACAAAAGGAGTCAAAATAAGAACAATGGGATTGTCTGGGGTATACTACAGTAATGATCACATCATCTTTTAATTTGCTTATTGTATTGCTCAAAAAGAAGCTTTGGAAAAAGACTAGACACAATTTTTTTGGTAGCCTACTTTTAGCTTTCAGTGAACCAAGTTACAAAACTAGATGTTTCCTTTTTCCTCCTTCCTTCCCTCCCTCCCTTCCTCCTTTCCTTCCTTCTTTCCTCCCTCCCTTCCTCCTTCCTTCTTTCCTCCCTCCCTTCCTCCTTTCCTTCCTTCTTTCCTTCCTTCCTTCCTTCCTTCCTTCTTTCCTTCCTTCCTTCCTTCATTGGTGCTATAAGTTAGGTTCTCCCTGCCTCAACTTCCCAAGTAATGGGATGATACCATCATACCCACGTTTGATTTCTTCCTCGAGGTGACAGGAAGAAAATGAACTAGGAAGCACCACAAATATTAGGCAAATCAGGAAATGGATGTGGAGACAGATAATACCATGCTGGTGAGATCAAGTCCTTAAGCAAGATCTCAGAGTTTATCTTTTTTGTTGTTGTTGTTTTCAGTTGTGGGGCTTGAACTCTGGGCCTGGGCACTGTCCCTCAGCTCTTTAGCTCAAAGTTAGCGCTATACCACTTGAACCACAGCGCCACTTCCGGCTTTTTCTGCTTACGTGGTGCTGAGGACTCAAACCTAAACACTCTATCACTGAGCCACCTTCCCTAGACCCCCTTTTTTTTGTTCCTGTCCTGGGGTTTGAACCCAGGGTTTGGGCACTATCCCTGAACTTCTTTTGCTCAAGGCTAGTGCTCTACCACTTGAGCAACAGTGCCACTTCCAACTTATTCTGTGTATGTGGTTACTGAGGAATTGAACCCAGGGCTTCATGCATGCTAGACAAGCACTCTACCACTAAGTCATATTCCCAGTCCTCAGAGTATATCTTCTGATGTTAGCCTACAATTTTCTCAAACTTAAGAGTAAGATACTTCTAAGTACAGAAAGAAAACATGACAATAGCTTCCAGCCAATTAGTAGAAAGAGCTTCCTTCCATATTTCGAATAAGACTGTCTGCTTTACTGAAAAGACACCTGACTGACAGTAGTCTTTCATCTGGTTTGTATGTCTAAATGTATGTAGTGTGTTTCATAGGTGGAAAGTTGCTAAAGGGAGATATCTATGCAGAAGTTAACTGGAAGAATAGACGATAGAGAAATGGAAGAGCTGCTTGGGTTGACCATTTTAATTAGTGCTTTTAAATCTCAAGTGAAAATGTATAGTTACAGAACAACAACAACAAAGGCCTCCCTCTCTTCAAAATGATGGGATATGAAAGGTTTAAATATATAACACTGTATTCTAGCACAGCAGTAAGAAGTGAGAACCTATGAGGAAGGGTGCTTTCAGAGTTACTTTGAGTAGCTGTTAGCCCCCAAATGTTGTATCTCTTAAAAATATAGGATATATCAGCCAGGTGTTAGAGGATCACAGTTTGAAGCCAGCCTGTACAGGGACGTTCATGAGACTCTTATCTCTAATTAACCACCAAAAGCTGGAAGTAGAGTTTTGGCTCAAGTGTTAAAATGCAGCCTTGAGCAAAAAAAGTCACGGGGACAGTGCTCAGGCCCTGGCTTGAAGCCCCAGGAACAGCGCACGCACATACACAAAATAGATTTCCTTACAATGTAGATTGCAGTGTTTCAAAGATCACTAGTATTTTACTTTTATTAAACAAGAAAAGAAATAACTGATCTCATACAAAATAATTATCAAAAATAATTACAGGAAATGGAAATGAGGTTTTTTTTCATTGTTACTCCTTTCATTTTCTTTTTGTCTTGTTTGTTTATATGTCTTTGGGAGGATAAGGATAGGCACAGAAATGGAGGAAGGACAAAAGGTAAATAAAGGTAGCATTGGTACTCACTAGATACTATTTTGAAAATGAACTATATAACTTGTGGGCTGGGATAGGAGGGGAAAACTGGGAGAGAGCAAGGGAAAAGAGATGACTTTGTCCAAAAAGAAATATACTCATTACCTGACTTATGTGGCTGCTGTAACCACTCTGTAATCCTCTTTATAATAACAATAAAAACTATGGTCCTGAGACAGAATACAGTATTTCTGTTACTGCAGACGATTTTCTTTTGCTTTTATATATTCAATCCCTTCCTTCTGCTTCAACACTGAAATCATATTTCTTTCTGTCTCTATAGTCTTACTTTCTTTTGAATGTAACTAGCTTGTCGCACCCAGCTTAACATCCACATTATTCTCTGCCTTTTATCGCCTGGTAGTATTCCATTGCTTGTATGTACCCCATCTTTAATCATTTACCAGTGGTGGGTTGTTTACAATTTAGGACTAAAAACAATAATAATAAAAAAAAGCAACAGCTAGGCACCAGTGGCTCACACCTATAATCCTAGATACTTGGAAGCTCAGATCTGGAGGATCATGGTTCAAAGCCAGGTCAGGCAGGAAAGTCAATAAGACTCCCATAAACAACCAGCAAAAAGTCAACTAGAAGCATGGCTTAAGTGTTAGAACACGTGCCTTAAGCAAACAAGCTGAGCAAATATGAGACTCCAGAGTTCAAGTTCTAATACTGGCAAAAATAAAAAATAATGATATGATATCTGTATATGTATATATCCAATACATGTGTGTATGGACACATGCTTTGATTTCTCTCTGGTGGGTTTGCTGTTTGGAAAACTGTTTTCCAAAGTGACAACCATTTTAAATTCTCAACCAGGATTGTATAACTGTTCTAGGTCCTTCCTGGTCTTTCTTAGAAATTTAGCTGTCTAGTGCGTATATAGTGGTATCTCATCATGATCATTTCATCAATTAGTGTTTCTCTACTAAATTATGATAGTGTGTATCTTTTTATATATTTATAACCACTCACATATGCTTAATGAATTAGCTTTTCAAATCACCCTTTTTTGGTTTGGTTATTTATCTTAGTATTGAGTTATAAGAGTTCTTTACATATGCTATAACAAATGCATATACTGTGTGTATATTTGTAACTCTTCTCTCCTAATCTGGCTTCACTTTTTATTTTCTTTACTATGTCTTTTGCAAAGCAAAAGTTTTACTTTTTGTCAGCCCAGCCTGTCAGTTTTTTTTATTTTATAGTTTGTGCTTTTGGCATTCTAAGAAATCTTTATCTAATTTAAAGTCATGAAGATTTTTCCCTGTTTGAGTTTTATCATATTAGCTCATACATTTAGGTCTAACTTATTTCAAGTAAATTTTTGTATATGTGTGAAGTAAAGGTCTCAGTTCTCTTTGTTTTGTTTGATTCTACTTTGCATATTTTTACACATCCTTTATTCAGAAGCATATCTTATCCTTATTAAAGTATCATGGCACCATTATTGAAAATGCATGTAAGGTGTGCTCATAGATTCTATTCTGTTCTGTTCTATTCTGTGTCCTTATACTGATATTACACAATTTAATTAATTTATAGCTTTTGGAAATCAAGTAGTAGGAGACATGCAACTCTGGGATTTGTCTTATGTCCTTTCCATTTCCTCAAAATTATAGAATCAGCTTGTTAGCTTCCTTTCAATGTAATGCTAAATTAGCAGTCCTAGAACATTGTTTCTGTTTCTTTGGTATTGTTTTTGTTGCTTATTTGTTTTTAAAGTACCTAATTTGTCCCTTTGTATGTACAAGTAAGCCATAACTATCTTTGTTTTTATCTTGATTTCCCTTTTGAATGCTATCTTTACCAATTTGGGTACTTGGTGTTATAACTTTATAAATGAACTATGAAATAATTACTATTTTCTCTTTCCCTGAAGACAGTTATATGGTATAATGAAATCTCTCTTTCCCTGAAGACAGTTATATGGTATAATGAAATCAACTATTCTTTAAAAATTTGTCAAAACTCTTTTATAAAACCAATCCATCTTTTTTTTT